TATATATATATATATGTATGCATCTTGCGAAATTTGTGTTCTCCAAAAGATAAGTCTCCTTTATCTTCAAAAGAAATAACGCCATTAGAGGCAGAACATTGGAAATTTGAGAACTTTTCATTGCACAATACCCTACAGAATTATATCATTGTCATCTCAGTAACAAAAGATCCGATCTCAATTGTTTAATTACTGATGAAATTTTTGATAGTATGAATATTGGATTATAAAGAAATATGAATTCGAATGTTTAAAGAATTTTCATCATTTTGAACATTCAGTATTCCTTCAAGTAAAATAAAAGCCTTATTTGATTGGTGCTCAAACTACACATAAAAAAAAAAATACTTTCATATTTATACAAGTTTGTGTAACTCAATATTACACATCCAGTTTAAATGTACAGACACTAGAGGGCCACAAAATTTTTTAATTTAAGAAAAAAAAGCAGGTAATTCTTACAACAAACAGTTTAATTCCATGCAGTGCGTTGACTACTTGAGTGACACGTGGTGGCCAAAACAGGAACACAAAAATTGCTTTAAGATGAATGAAAGATTCTGAATTAAACGTCGTTACCATTAATTTATTGTTCTTGCTGTCAGGTCACTCATATCTCTCCAACGAGAGAAACTTAAGCCTGCTGGAAAAAAGATCTTTTAAAAAGCTTAGATTCACACACACAAAAAAGGGACTTTTATACAGCTAAGTGCAGATCACCTCAGTTGGGACTGAGGTCAATCTGTTTAACAAAAACTTATAGTACCTAATTGGGTAACCTAAAAAAATTGGCTATGGCAATGTTTTTCTGGTAACTTCCCTTCACACTGTTTCCAAGCTTAGGATTGACTATCATAATAATGCATGTTTCAGTAGTGTCTCTTTTATCAGAAATTATATTAGTTACAAATTGAATCTTTTTAATAAATGTTTTTTTTTAATTACGACACAGATGATATGCTAATATGTTGATTTTCTAATACCATACAATATTTACATTAACTATCTCAATGTTTTGATGTAACAGCACTCTTTTGCCTTCTAGATATGTAATGTTGTTCGAAAACAACTACTGCACCTACAAAACTTATCCGAAAATTAACATGTATACTGTGGCATCACATGTTTAATATATATATTTAAGTCTGGAAACACATTCCTTTTTCCTCTAATTTTTAGTGAAAGAAGGAACTTGTTCCGCTACTGATTCCTTCTATTTTCTACCTTCATTGATACCAAACCGAGCAGGGAAAAAGTTAAGCCGATCTCGTTTTTCTAAAAACAAAAGAGATCAAAAAATAAATAAATAAAAAGCACAGCATAAAATAATAATAGTCAATATTTAAAGCAAAAAAGTGGGAAGAAATCTGGAAAAAAAAAGACTTAACCCTTTGTAACTCAACAGCTCCGATTTACGAAATATTTACGCGGATGTTAGAATACATCATATTAAGCGTGTAAAAAATAATGAAAAAATTAAGACCTCAAAATTTATTGATAAAAAGCATTGATTGAACATCTCCAATATCGTGAAATATAGCACAAAAATTCCAATATATTTAAAACTTCATGTGAAAAATTTTGAAAATGTTGTTTTTATGGTAACAAGGTCTCACACCACATTTTTCAATACCTCCTTAGCCAAATATACAATCAAGGGGATCGTTGTAAAAAAATTGTATATCCTGCAATTATGTCGTGGAACAATTCTTGCTAAACGCATTATAATATTGGCAGCTGCACCAAGACTTGGTTCCCCCGAGTTTGCAATATTTTCTTTACCTGAATTTAGTTCGATTTTATAGGTAAATCCACCTCATTATAGGATTGAATTTTCATGTATGTTGCAGATATGTAACGCGGTGATACAAAGAGTTAAAATTGTAATATTTTTCAAACTACTAAGTATTTTTATTTTATTTTTAAAAAGCTTATGTTACGTTCACAAATAAAAATTTAATAAAAAAGACCTTAACATTGATAGGTAGTAACTATTTATAGCAAAACGTGTGAGGAAAAAGCATTTAAAATTACAATAACTTTCAAACAATTAAGAATTTCTAAAAAAAATTAAAAATGCTTGCGCTAAGTTCCAGTATAGCATTGTCAACTCCTTAGTTGCATTTCTGCAACTGAAAAAGGAGGCAAGCGAGATATTTTTACAACAATAAATAATATTTGAACTTACTACTGAAAGTTAAATCCCCCTCTCATTGTTTTTCCTGTAAATTTTTCTATACACTGTCATAGTACCATGTTCCTAAGTCTTCTAGCGTTTGAGCAGCGAAATAAAATTAAGTTGAACACCCAAACCAGAGTATTTTATTATATTTTAATATAAAGAGATAGTATAATTTACAATTACATTTTTCATAGTACTTATTTCATTTAAAAAAAAATTCAGATTCTGAAGCAAACATAATCTTTTTATTAAAATTTCAAGCCAATGTCACAAAATAATTATGAGTAATGTACCATTACAAACAGACGACAATGTTACGAACACACAAATTTTCACACAATATTTAGTTACATTAATTATTCAGCTTTACTACACAATTAGCCTACACTTCAAATGATACATAAAAATTAAGTAGACATATAACATTTAACACAAATACTTAATAAAAGCAATTAAATGCTTTATCATTAGGCTGTTAAAAGTAATTAAAACAACTAAAGCTGTAGAAATAAGCTCTCTTAAATAAGGAATAGCCTCATTAAATGCAAAATAAAAATGACAAGAATAGAACAAATTATATATTGAACTAACTAATAAACAATAATCTATTAAATAAAGATTGTTTTATTAAAATATGCCATGGTTCATCCTTAAATGCAGAACTTTCTACTACACCATCTCATTGTTTCAGAAAAATAAATAACTATAATATATTTATTATTGCACAACTGAAAACACACAATAAAAAGTAAAACATTAAATTTTTATGTACAAAAATAAGTTTTATAAAACAGTAATCAATAAACAGTTCTAAATAGGCAGTATAGAAAATTTCTTATGTAGGAGTTTGACTTATTTCTACCCAACATATTAAAAACCTTAACTGCAACATATTAATATATATATAAAATAATATCCAGAAATGCAAAATTAGTCTAGGGAAAAATGATTTATTGCTAAATGATTTTATTATTCAGTTAAATATTCCTAATATGGATTAAACTATTCACAGTTGAAATTGATAATAAATTTAACCACGCTGGCCGCAGCAATCACATAGAAATAAAAGGGGGGGGAAATTTTTTTTTAATTGCTTAAAAGAAGATAATCTATCAAGAGAACATTTAGGAGTATTTAGCAGAAATTTCGTCAAAGAATACCTGTAATCGGTTGCAACTTAACTGCACATTAATCAGATATTTCTTCCCACAGAGTGCTTTACTTAAAATGCTGCTTAAATCATCGATAGTATTTTAATATTTGCCAGGAAAATAAATAAAAATAAGTTTGAAATTGAATCAGAGAATTAAAAAAAAATAATTTAAATGATTCCAGCTATTTAAATGCATTAATCTTTAATTTAAGCTCCCATTTTGAAATCTTTTCTGTATAATTTATATAAGAATGCAAGTTATTTCATATATTATATAAAAATTACTTTTTACATAACTTTTCTGAAAAATCAAGCAATACATTTGCATTGATAAAACATTACACTATTATCTAATTTTGCTTCCTGATAGTAGTAAAAATTAAATGGCACAACAACAGAATACCACTTTAAAGGTATAAATATTAAATAGTTAAAATTGAGAAAAATAGAAAAATCACACTTTTATACATCAAAGATCAACAAAAGAAATTTAAACCATTACAGGTTTTGCCATGGTTAGTTCCTGCAATGTTGCTAATTCTTTTTACCATCTCAATCAAAATAGAGTTTTAAAATTGAAAAAAAAATCATATAATTTATAATTAAGATGGTCTAAAATAGTTACAAGTATCTAAACATTTCTTTCGATTTACTGTTTTAAAATGTCAGCTATAAGTTGTGAGAGAGTTTTCTTATTTTAGTCCTAACATTCATTCTTAAAATTGATAAATGGGTTAGAAATAACGGGGGGGGGACCTAAATTAATGTTAGTATTAATTTATGCTTCATATATGAGAAAAATTAAATAACCAACTTATAAGTCAACAACCTCAATAGCTTTAAAAAAAATTAGAGCTCAACTTTACAATAACTAGAGCAGTGGTTAGGAACTAGAAATTAAAATGCAAGTTTAACCATAGCAGTAATTAGGAACAAGCAAATTCTATGCTTTAAATAAAATAAGTTGGTCGAAACCAAGTAAAAAGATGTGCTTTAACTTTTGTATAAAATGTCATTCCCAACAAATAGTTTGATTCACTAACAGTAATGTAAATATAAGTAAATAAAATAATCTAGTAGAAATATAGTTAAGATGTGTTATTGACTAGTATAGAGTTGCAACAATTTGTACAAAGTATAATTTTTGATTAAAAAAATGCAATCTAGATTATTTATTTTGTTTTTCAGATAACTAGAGAAAAAACTTTTAAACTTTTCTTTTCCGTCCAACATTGCATAAAATTGTAGAAATATCAACATCTCATCTATCACAAAATGTAATACATAAAATTGTAGTCAAGCAGCTAACACAATATGATTAATACAAATATATTATGTAATTTTGTTTACAAAAGAATATTGCAAAAATGTATGATTCACATCAGAGCACAATGGCTTCCTCTTCTGATCCAGAAACGACGCCTTCCTTTATCTTGCATTGGGGGGTGAGTTCTAAAGAAAAAATTTAGTTTAAAAACACCAAGCATGTTGCTTCAGTTACATGGGTATTTATGTATTGTCCTATCGATCATTTTCACCAACCTTATTTTAGTGACTTTTAAATTTATTCATATATAGTAATTGAATATAAAAATAAAAGAAAAAATAGACATGTACTGGGTTGCCACAGAAAAAAATGAACAAAACAGTTGCTTTTAGTAGCTTAAAACATGAAAATAGTAGCCAAAAACTATGAAAATAGTTGCCTAAATAAGAACCGAAATTCATCAAAAATATGACTAAAATTTTGTAAATGACTTAATTGTCATATACCATGATCCATTCAGTGAAGTTGGTGGCAAATATGATATATAAGCGTAAATGTCTATATATATAGATATATGAAAAGTGATTACACAAATTTGAAATTCACACATCGTAATATTGCATAATTTTTTTAAAATCATGCAGAATTTTGTAGAAATAATCATTAAAAAGGAGATCGAGAAATGAAATAGACTAGCAACGGAGCCTGCGCAGATTGAACGATTTAAAAAGTGAAGACTCAAATTTGCTACATTTTTTATTTTTTAAGAAAAAAAAAGTTCAGTGCGTCCAGAAACTATCTTGTGGGGTGTAAATTTTCCACCCAATTTATGCTTTAAAAAAAAACTCAGAAAGCACAGAAAAGTCTCCCAATAGTCTCCTTTTCCTGAAAATAGTTGCTTTTTTAGCCTTTTTAGGCAAAAAAAGTTGCCATAGTCGCCTCTTACCAAAAATAGTTGCATTTTAGTCGCCTGTGGCAACCATGCATGTAAAACTGAGAAAATATTTAAATTATTAAATATTTAAAATATTAAATTGAACCACTTCGAAATTTATTTTGACTCAAAACGAAATGCAAAATAATCAAAAAAATTTGCAGAAGAAAAAACATTCTCTACAAAAACAAATATGAATTGACTGACTAGCTTAGGCTTGTACAATACGTCATAATTCAAAATTGTTGCCAAAACAATATTTTGACGGTTGCTTTCAAATTAGATGAAAATGGTAGATGGGATAATATGTAAGTATCGTTAAATATACATTTTACTTTTTAAGAAAGGAAAAGAAAGAAGAAATGTGCTAAATACTACACAAAAGGTGTTTACAAAATGATAAACAAAAAATTTGAGAAGTTTACAGAGCAGAAAGAGTCTTTTGAGAGTAAATATACAATGAAAATTCATATTTTTATAGGCTTAACTAAAGAGATTTTAGTAGTGCAGAATATTTCAGGGATGGCCACTGATTTTATGGAAGAGTGACACATTCCTATCTGAAAAATAAAAATTATGGATGCTACTTCCAACAGTTGAAAAAAATATTTAGAGACTGAGTATGTGATTTATTATGCAAATATCTTTTATTTATTTTTTATTTCAGTCTAAGTAGTGATTAAAATTGTAATACTGAGCAATAACTTATGCAAACAATATTTTTTCACTTTATAAGCATAAAAAGGACATAACTAAATAACAACTGAGCAATAACTTATGCAAACAATATTTTTTCACTTTATAAGCATAAAAAGGACATAACTAAGTAACAACTGAGCAATAACTTATGCAAACAATATTCTTTTAACATTTTGAGCTTACAAATGATGTAACCAAATGATAGCTGTGGTATATTCAACATGTATGCTTAGAACAAGATAAAATTACACATATAATCTTTAGAACAACCTTTACTTAAATTAATTTTATATTTAAAAAAAAATGAAGGTTAAAATAAAAGTAGTTAATAAACTCAACTAACCGAATTATCCGTACAATCTCATGAAATGCAGTATCAACATTCAATGGTGGATCTTTGGCACTAGTCTCTATGTATGGAATCTGTAACAAAAATGTTTTTTATTATTTTTCCACATAAAATTGTGCAAAATACCTTTTTTAGTCTTTTAACTTCTTAAAATTATTTTTATTTTTAGCTTTTAATTTGAAATAATGAAAAATAAGTGAAATTGCATCATAAAATTTTGAAATTAATGACTACAAGTTTTTAAAAAACATAATGATTAAACAGCAAAAATTATCTAAAAAAATTATTAAATTATACTAAATACATTATTTTTCTAAATTATTAAAATCAAAGAGTTCATTTTGTATACAGCATACAACAGAATTGTGTTATTTGCAATGGGGAGCTAAATAATAATAATAAAAATAAATAATAATTTGATTATACCTTGAAACTAATTTGCTTTAAATATTTCTCCATAAAATATCATAAATAATGACAAATTATGCAAGTTAATTATTTCAGTTTTTTAACTTTTGAGATGTAAAAACAAATGTGTGTCTTAAAAATTTTTTAATAAATAAATAAAACTTACTTTCAATTCTTGGCATAAATCTTTACAATTCTCTTCTGAAACTTTACGCAAATGTACCAAATCAACTTTATTGGCAACAACTAACATAGGATATTGATCCCTAAAATAATAACAACATAAAGGCTTGAAAATCAATCTAAGAGACATGCATTGCTTTTCTAATAAATGTCAAAAATAATTGGAAAAAAAATAAACCAAATATATTGGCTACAACTAAAATAGGATCACTGCAATGGAATTAAAAATCAAAATAAAGCGTGCAATGTATATTATTTTAATAAACACACAACTAAAAATTTTAAATCTAGAAAATAGCCAGTGTTGGAAAATAACCAGTAAGGTAATTGTTTTCCCAAAACACTGTCCTTACTTAGATTTTTTCTTCCACATAATTCTTTAATATAACATTTCTCTTAGCTTTAAAAAAAAGAAATTCATTTTCCTGGCAACGATAAAAATACAACAGCAGTGTTAGATGAAAATATAANACAAAAAATATTATTTAGAGACTGAGTATGTGATTTATTATGCAAATATCTTTTATTTATTTTTTATTTCAGTCTAAGTAGTGATTAAAATTGTAATACTTAGCAATAACTTATGCAAACAATATTTTTTCACTTTATAAGCATAAAAAGGACATAACCAAATAATAACTGAGCAATAACTTATGCAAACAGTATTTTTTAACATTTTAAACTTACAAATGATGTAACCAAATGATAACTGGGGTATATTCAATATGTATGTTTAGAACAAGATAAAATTGCACATGATATTATCTATAGAGCAACCTTAACTTAAATTAATTTTATATTTAAAAAAAAATGAAGGTTAAAAAAAAGTAGTTAATAAACTGCAACTAACCGAATTATCCGTACAATCTCATGAAATGCAGTATCAACATTCAATGGTGGATCTTTGGCACTAGTCTCTATGTATGGAATCTGTAACAAAATTTTTTTTATTATTTTTCCACATAAATTGCACAAAATACCTTTTTTAGTCTCTTAACTTCTTAAAATTAGTTTTGTTTTTCGCTTATAATTTGAAATAATGAAAAATAAGTGAACTTATATCATAAAATTTTGAAATTAACGACTACAAGTTTTTAAAAAATATAATGACTAAACAGCAAAAATTATCTAAAAAAAATAATTAAATTATACTAAATACATTATTTTTCTAAATTATTAAAATCAAAGAGTTCATTCTGCATACAACATACAATAGAATTGTGTTATAAGCTAAATAATAATAATAATAATAAAAATAAATAATAATAATTAGATTATGCCTTGAAACTAATTTGCTTTAAATATTTCTCCATAAAATATCATAAATAATGACAAATTATGAAGTTTATTATTTCAGTTTTTTTAACTTTTGAGATGTAAAAACAAATTTATGTTTTAAAAAATAAAAAACTTACTTTCAATTCTTGGCATAAATCTTTACATTGCTCTTCTGAAACTTTACGCAAATGTACCAAATCAACTTTATTGGCAACAACTAACATAGGATATTGATCCCTAAAATAATAACAACATAAAGGCTTGAAAATCAATCTAAGAGACATGCATTGCTTTTCTAATAAATGTCAAAAATAATTGGAAAAAAAATAAACCAAATATATTGGCTACAACTAAAATAGGATCACTGCAATGGAATTAAAAATCAAAATAAAGCGTGCAATGTATATTATTTTAATAAACACACAACTAAAAATTTTAAATCTAGAAAATAGCCAGTGTTGGAAAATAACCAGTAAGGTAATTGTTTTCCCAAAACACTGTCCTTACTTAGATTTTTTCTTCCACATAATTCTTTAATATAACATTTCTCTTAGCTTTAAAAAAAAGAAATTCATTTTCCTGGCAACGATAAAAATACAACAGCAGTGTTAGATGAAAATATAACAATGAATACATAGTAGACGTATTTTCACCAGCTTTTGTAATCGACTTTATATCAATGTTAAAAATGTATAAAAATTATTAAGGGAAACACAACTTCTAGAACAAATGACAAAGAAGTTTGGAAACACAACTTCTAGATGCAAATAAACCCAAGTATAAACTCTCAAAACTTTTAAAATGTTAGAGGACAGCTAAATAAGTGATCAAAACATTGCACACACACCATTAACTATAACGTCATCATGATAAATAAAATTAACAGCAAGAAAAGAAAATTAAAATAGTTGCTAATACTCAAAATATTTCATGAAAGCCAAATAAATTTCTTCAAACAAAATTTCAAGGTCATGAAAAAATTGCGAAAAGGAAATAATTGTTGCATACTTCAGAAATAAAAATTTTTTTCAAAAAATTAAGGGTTCTAAAGAGACATTTTCATTCAAACATTTAAAAACTGCTATAATTCAGAATTAGTTAACATATCTTTTCATAGCAGATAAATTAAAGTGACTCTCATATATGCAACTGCAATAAGATTACAAAATTTTTCCCATCTTTCTTATTACAATACTATTTCTTCTAGTTCAATTTTTTTTTTATAAGTCAAAATAGATATGTTTACATTTTTTGAAATAGCAATCATAAATTAAGTTGTCATAAGATATTCAAAACATCAAAGCCTGAAGTGTACAATAGAAAGTGGGATATTGCTTAGTGAGTAATCTTTCAACTTGATGAAAAACAAAAAAATTTCGTGCATAAAAATATTAAAATATTTTTACAGTTTCCTTCAGATTTGATTTAAAAAAGAGTTGAGTATATTATCAACAGCGATATAATATAAATAGTGAGGTGAGTACCTATCTTTAACTCGAAGAATTTGAGTGACAAAGTGACGGATATTTTCAAAACTCTGCTTGTCGGTCACCGAGTATACAATTAGAAATCCATCTCCTTTCCTCATATATTGTTCTCTCATTGCACTAAATTCTTCTTGTCCTGCTGTATCCAAAACTGATATGGAATAACAAAAGAATAGTATAAATAAATGTATATACTCAGCATATTTTTTATTTTTTAAATTCAATATCATTCATGTGATAGTAATTTGGCAGTGTTGTTGAAACTACAGTAGGTAATACTGCATAAAAATATAACAAAAACTAACTAGAAATAATTAAAGTGAAACTTCTCGAGAACGACCACTCTTTGCACCACAGTAAAATGGTCATTAATGGAGGTTCTTAGAAGGGGTGACCTCCATTGACTTCAAAATGTTACAGAAGGTACATGATTTTTCGCAAACAAATGTATAAATCTTATCTGCAAATCAAAATTCAGCCTTAGACAAACGAAAAAATTAAATAAAAAATAAACAGAGGGTAAAATATACATATTTTTTTAATTTTAAATACATTGAATTAATATATTTTTGCATACAATGTAAGATAAACAATATTCCAAGGATCATCCGTGAGATTAGCCTATTTAGTTTCATATTTAACTCTACAGTAATTTGAATGAGTTTTAATTTCACTTTCCTAATAAAAGTAATTTTTTGAGCTAAAACATATTTATTTAGTAACATATTTAAAATAAATTTAATATATTTTAATATATATTTTTTTATTAACAGCAATATTTTTGGGACCAAATATATCATTGTAGAGGGATATATTGTTATATCGTGGGCCTGCATACTTCGGGGACACAATAAGTTTTTATTTTATTTTTAATGTTATATATGTATTAACTATAAATGTATTCTTAACTATGCAAAAAGTTAATTTGCAGAGTGTTAATTACGGTTAAATATTGAAAACAATTGAAATAAATTCAGAAAACAAGATCGTAAACATACCTGAAAACAGTTTTTATTGAAAGTAATCTGTTTTGTTTGTTTACTCATTTTTTTGTTACTGTCATTCATTTTTTTTGTTACTGTCAAATCAACCAACAAAGTATGCATTGAATCTAAAGCTCGAAAATGCTTTTTGTTTGTGAATCCCGCTTCACCAACCCTCTACAAAAAAAAATTTTTCTTTCAGGTGTAAATGTGATGCTTATGGTCATTTGTGACTCATGATTAGCTTTTAATATGAAGGAAATGAAATCAGATAGGAATGTTACACCAGTGACTTAACAGAAAAGGGAGGCAATTCTAAGATTGGAAGCTCTTGGGGTGGTCAGCAGTGAGTCTTCTCTTGTCAGAAAAGATGGAAAAAATGGCAAAAGATGAAAAAAAAAATTTTTTTACATTATTTAGAAACCAATAATAATAAGAAAAAATAAAGTTGAAATTTGGGAAAAAATCGTTTTGCAGGGGATTATTGCTTCAGAGAATATCGTAATATTGAGAGGAGCAAGACATTAACAAGTTCGTCGGGGCGACGAAACATAATCGTAATAAAGAGAGGTATTGTTGTATGGGATATCATAGTATAGAGAGTTCACTGTATACACATATATATTATTTTTAAATGCATTATTACAATAAATTTAATCTTGACTCCAAAATATTCAATCAGAAACATCTTCTGACTGATAACTGAATTTTTATCAAATTGGTAATCAATTACAGTGTTTCTCGCCATGCATATTTAGAAGGGCAGCCCACTCTGCCTGCCCTTTGATCCCCATAAAAAGCAACCTCTTTTCTTTATAAAAAAATCTTTATTCTTTAAAATAACTGTCTTTTTTATTTACATTCCATTTTTTACAAAAAAATAAATAATTCATTGTTTCAATAATTACACACTTGTAAAATTATCTGTGTTTATAAACTTAATTTGGATTATTACAAATATTTACTTTGTTAGAATTATTTTCAACAGGTTACATTTTTTTAACTTTCTCTTTTTTCGGGAGGGGGGAATATATTAATAAATTTTTTACGTAATTTTAAAAAAATACTTTTTTAAAGAAATTGTTTTCAGTTCAATTTATAAAAAGAGAAAGCTTTCGAGCTGCTAATTATTATCTTTTTTTTTAGTTTACGTGTTTTTTAATAAAAATAAATCCTTGTCCTTCAAAATAACTGTCTTTTTTATTTATATTCCATTTTTTACAACAAAAAAATAATAATTCATTGTTTAAATAATAGTTACACACTTGTAAAATTATCTGTGTTTATAGATAAATCCTTTTATATGTGTGTTATAGATAAATTGTTTAAAGAAATTGCATTTTATCTGCATTATTAAGCCAGTATTTTATTATAACTTTCAATTCAATTTATAAGAAGAAAAAGCTTTCGAGCTGCTAATTATTATCTTTTTTTTAGTTTACGTGTTTTTTGAAAAAACAGACATGCACGGAATGGTCTTTTAGAATATTTTTTAATTCTTTTTTATTAACTACAAATTTTTCTCTTATTTTGATAATGAGTGAGAATTACCTACTTTTTGAAATATGCACAGAAAATAGTATAAGAGTGTAATTTAAAAATTGTTGAGGATCAAATTCAGTTATTACATAATCTAACAAATTTAGATAAATTTTTCACTGTGTTAAGTGAGTGCCTTTTAAAACTCAAACAACCCTTTTCAGTGCAGAAGCAACCTGCTCTTTTTTATCCCTAAGGTGAACTCTGATAATCATAGTAATTGTTCTTCATAATTATGAAAAGTTATAATTATAAGTGAATTAATAATTTCGAAAAATGACAAACATCAAACAAGAACAAAAAGCAAAATAAAAATTGTCACATATACATATGAATGAAAACTAATCTTTTAATCTGTTCAGGTTCAACTCTTATACATATTAAAGAGCATATTTACGCACTAATATGTGATGTAACACAAAAGTACCGATCATCAAGATCACATTCATCAGTTCAGATCACGATCATTAACAACAAGAGTAAAAAAATATAGTCTCATCTGTGATACTGTAGGCCATGAAGCGAAATCGCTTGATAATGTATATCTGATTGCTGTATCGAACAGGTCATGTAAATAATTCAAATGTTTAATGGGGTAAATACTATCTAAAATGCACACCTGGACATAAAATATGAAAATAGAAGATAAATCATGTTTTTTTTTAAATATTTAAATTGTATAAAAAAATCTTATAAACAAACTGTTCAATTGGAACTTTTCCAATTGTTTATTATCTCATATAAAAATGCATAATAATATTTAAAATATTGAATAATTAAAAACGTTAATAAAATAAGATAAAATACCATCTAATATGCACCACTGGCCATCAACTTCAGTATGTGAGCGATAAGAATCTTCTATTGTAGGATCATAATCTTGAACAAATAATTTCTGAATAAATTGTATAGTTAGAGCTGATTTTCCAACACCTCCATCGCCGACAACAACCAACATATACTTAGTCAGATTATCATTAGGTGGAGTCGACATTTTTTTTGTTAGGATACAATTGATGTAGCAAAATTATCCTAGATTACCTAAATGATAATATTAAAAAAATAAGAAGACATGCAAAATATGTATGCAAAAGTATAAATTTTGATTTATAAATGCTATAATAATTTAACTTTAAGGCTATAAATGAACACTCCTCATGAGAATCTTCTTCAGCATAACTTTATTACATTTAATTATTTATTTATTATCAGAGTTATGAAATAAAATACCCTTAAAAAAATAGTTCAGATACTAAAACATTTTTAAATGTGACATATACCTAATTTAATGCTAGATTGATATTAAATAATTTTATTTTTCATAATATTCATTAAAGTGATTTTTAAATATTTTTTTATAAAATTAAAGGCTTCATTGTTGAATTCATATTTATTTTTCTTTCCCTGTGGGCGTCACTGGCGACGGTGATGATGAGTATGTGTCTCCCTGAATAATTAGAAATCTCCATATGCTGATATGCTCGCATTTTAGAAGAGAAAAAAAAAACATGTCTTTATGATTTTGCAAGTCGTCAGCACATAAATTTAAAAAAATAATATTTTAAAATTGTGAAATTAGTGACAGTAACTATCCAAAAAAAAGATTCAATTGACGAAGTTCAAAAGAGAAATTCACAGGTATTTACAACAAAATCACACAAACCAGACTCTTAAAAAAAATGCGGCATTCAAATATGTGTTTCGAGATTTAGGTGTTTCAATAAATAATATTGTCGTAAAAATATTAGATTTTAAAATTTATGTTTATGTCAATAGCAGTAACTGTCAAAAAAAGTATACAAACAGTGCACTAAAAAGTAAATACTTTAACGAACAATTCAAATTTCTAAAATTGCATGAAATATAGTGGGGTCTAAGAAGATCATATCACAAATCAATAGCAATAATTGAAAGGAAAAAAAACTACATGAATCTCTGGTACAATTAGTGTATATTGAGTGCATCAATACAATAGAATATTACCTGTCATAATATGTAATCAAAAATACTAAATTAAAAAGTCCATGCAAATCATCAGCAAAATTTGCCAAGAAGTTGAAGATTCAATTAAGTGAGAACATAAACTTCCTATTCACGGAATTCTGCATATTAGAGGGATAACCACATGCTCACATAAGCAATTCTGCATAAAAAGTACACAGAAAAAAAAAACTTTGACTATTGTAAGAGAGAAAAAAATGCACTAAACAATTGGAAGATTGGGGTCAAAGGTCAGAAAATTTTCCAAAAAAAAAAAAAAGCTAAACTGAGGGTGAATGTTGCATGCTATGAATATCTAACCTATACAGAGAACGAAGAGCGAAAGATCAAGATTAAAGATTACAGATGAGCACAAGCATTTCTTCCCCCTCTAAGACTAGAGAAAGGAAATCTTTTAAAAATTCTGAAAAAGATAAAAACATTTTTCAAAAAATACCACAGAGAAGTAAACTAAATTTTATTGTTAACCAAATGAAAAAATCTTTTTACAAGAGCTTTGTAACAAAGAACACCAATGTCATCACGATTCTGCCACAGTGCTGTTCACATTCACTAGAAAGGCCAAAGAGGTTTTAAACTTGCAATATTATTTTCTTAAAAAAAAAATATGTAGAGGTTAGTTTGTTAGGTGGCTGAAAGTTATATTTTTTCAAGTTGCTCCTTATAAGTGATATTTATTTTATTGCTGGCTACTGCCTAGAAGTTGCCAAAATTTGTAAATTATATCAGCATTAATATAGAAAAAGAATATTTATAAATTAATGACTGATATTTACATTGCCTTATTAAATATCTCTCATTTTAGTTTAATAATTTACTGTGCATGTATAAAGTATCCTCACATCTTCCTTTGCAACATTAGACAGCAATATTACGTAATTTTAAAAATTTAATTCGATGAAACTGACTGAAAGCTGTAATAGATTTGAATTTATAAAGAGAAACTTCACAAAATAAACTAGTAATATTTTAGATTCATAACATAAACCAAAAGAAAAATTTTAATTACAATCCAAAATATATAACTTAATAATTATTTTCAGTTTACCTTTATATTTAAAAATTATTTTTTCTTATGTTTCCATAAAAACTAAGTAATTCGAAATTTAACTGGAGTCAAGTAATGGATATCCTATTTCCTGTTTATCTGCAAGAGAAAAATAATTAAAATTTCATATGGTGTAAACTTATGAATAATAATTTTAAAAAAAACTTAAACCAGTATATTTTAATTTCTTTTCCAAAAAACGACAATTACTTTATTAAAATACATTTATATAATTCAATTAAATTGAAACTAAGGCCTCAATTATTGCTCCTGTTTTAAGTTAACAGTTGTAAAAAACACCCGTTATAAAATTTTCATCCGAATTATGATTTTGTTTATAATTGATAACGATAAGTGAAAAATTTAGTAAATAAGTAACAAATTACTATAGCAGATGACACTCATCATCGACATTAAAATCTCAAACCAGAGACATGTTTACATATTAGCAGGAAACTCGTGATATCGATTACATATCGAAATGGTAATCGATTACAAAACTAGAAACTTAACCCAGTAAAAAATTTTAATTATCTAAATTTTTTTCAATTGAATTGTTATGCTCTCAATATAATTTCCTCAAGTCTTTTTTTTCCTTTAAATTATCCCTTATAAATAAAAAAATAAAATTACCAGTCATTTGAAAATTGGCAACAAACAAAACATTTTGACAGACTTCTTTTTATACGTCATCTTTCGAAGCCGGTTGACTTCCAAATCCAAAACCAAGTTAAAGGGTTTATCTTGCAAAGTTTTTGCAATTGTTATTTATAAAATGCTGTGAATTTTTTTCCTTTTTCTTAATTGATTCCTTGTTTTTGTGAGATCGTTTTCTTTCATTCAAAATGCTGCATATTCGAAGCGCCTCTCTATTTTGTAGTGTTTTGATATCAATGCTTATTTTATGTATGAGTGAAGATTTACTTGAAGATGGTTTGTAACACTTAAGTGCTATGTTTTCTTTTATCAAAAGCAATTAACGGTTTGAAAATTCATAACATTAATCAAGCTTTATGTAATTTTTCTGTCTAGTCTCTTAAATTTATAAAAAGATCTTCTTTTGTGAGAACTTAGTGTGATAAATTTGTTATTTGTGTTGTATTGGTTATGACTATTGTATTCTACTGTTTGATTATTTATTAAACCGACTGGTATTCAAGCAGACTTATTATTCTAAAATTTATTATGGGCTTATATTTGTTTTCAGACATAGTATAAGCTTTAAATAAATAATCCCACGAAACTGAAGCAGTAAGACATTACCTGATTAAAAGCTTCTTTTGATACAAAAATATATTAAAAGTAAATAACAGTTGACATATTTAAAGTGCTTCTAACAAAGGTATCTGTCCATTTTAAAGATTTCCGAAACATGAATTAAAAGAAACCCAAATGATTTAAATTATAAAATGTAAGCTTTACATTTTCCTCTCAATATAACATCATATCCAATAGTGTCACATCTATCACAAGGCTGACTTTAAATATCCTTATTGGATTAATGTATCATATTTTAGAACCTCTTTGCCTTGGAGAGGGGATAACAGTCTGAGATTTTAGTGGTTTACCTCTCATTGTAACGTCTCCTTGAAATTGCAAAATATCTAGTCAAAAAAACATAAACGCTATGAAATCCTGATAAGTTATTCAAGGTAAGACAGAAATTAAAATCACCATCTAACCTGCTTGATTTTGACTGTCTGAAAAAAAAGTTTGAGACAGTGAAAGGATACTAGAAAGATTAAATATTAGACAAACGAAACTGGTTTTCAATCCAACTTTCCTCAATAGAAATTAGCCAGATTTTCAAATTACATTTGTTTTTTTCTATCAAAAAAATTATAATACGATTAACAATTTGCATAATTTTTCACATTATATTTTATTTATAACCGCCGTTTAAAAACTGACCCTATTTTGAGTTAACAATTACTAATATTCAATTCTACAACCTTGTAATTTTGGCTCTAATCCAGAATATAAAAGCACTCCTGGTTTAAGTATTGGGGAAAATTAGATTTCGTAGAGGACTTTTTGACGGAACTATCCTTCATTTGCTTTTCATGGAGAGGAGAGCTACATAAACCTACCATGGTTACCCTGATTTCAAGGGGATTCGAACGTGGTGCACCTCATTGAATATCAATAACATTCTAGAAGTAACAGATCATTCATTCAAATAAGGATTGTAATAATTTTTTAGGCCATAATTATACCTTAATATATAAATTTTCAATGCGATCTGACAACTTAGCATAACTATTAGGAAGCAATTTTATATATTACTAACAGCAAAAATTTTTGCAATTAACAGTATTTCAAAAATCGAAATAATAATAACTTTTTTTTTTTTTAAGTTTTATAAATGTTAAATTCCTTTAGGCTTCAAAATGACTTTCTTCTAATTTAAAGTTTTTTAAGAATTGAAATTCAATATTTTTTAATCAAATATAAAGATTAGAAGATGACTTATTTAAATGGATATTAGGAAGGACTATATAATAACTTTTCATTGATCTGCTATGTTATGAAAACTGTAAATTAAAAAATGTGCTAAGAAATTAAAATTATGTAGTTTCTAATTCCTTTTTTATCTTATATTATTGATTGTGTATTAAGGCACTGCAAATAAATTTTGCCTTTGTCCTTGTTTTTGTTAAGCCGATCCTGTTGATCAATAATAAAGGTTTGAAATTAAGTTTTTTATAATATTTAATATGAGAGATTTTAATTGGATTAATCTTTGTGGAGATGTAAAATTATTGTTGAAATAAGTAAATGATCAAAAATCACAGGTTGAATGGAATCAGTAATCTCTTAAGTTATCAAAATTTTACCTCGAAAGCAAATGAAATCTGATTTTACCAAATCGTTAGCAAAAAAAAATTAAATTTATATAGTGCAAATTAATAACTAGTCACAATTAAGTTCTCAATTAATGTGGTAGCCTATTCAGGGGTCTGTCCAGGCCGAATTTACTACCGTTTAGCGGTACCTTCACAAATTCAACTTTAGGAAAATCGGTAGTTTCACAAATTCACCTTTAGGAAAAATGGTAGTTTCACAAAATACTTTTTCTTAAAATTTTATTTTTTCATCCCTTACAAAACAATAAATACATATTTTTGTGTTGATTTTTTAATATAATTTGTAATTTTTCACAAATTATGTCTAAATTTTCACAAAATAGGTACCTCTCAGAAAAACCTAGACAGACCCCTGCTATTATAATGGAAACCAACACGAAGATATGTAAACATCCATGCAACTTGAAATATTTCAAAATTAACTTTTCAAGTTTCAATTTAGCAGTTTTTCTTTCTTTGTTTCAAAACAATTTTATATTTGTTGTTTCTATCATTACCTCACTAGATGGGAAAAAAAGACATACTTTACTAATGTTATAATCTACTTTTAGATATACCTGTAGTTGAAGGTGATGGTGGTATTATTAAAACTGCTGTAGAAGGGGATGTGCTGATTTTAACTAAGGAAAATTTTGATATTCAAGTATCTTCTAAAGATATTATGCTCGTAGAATTCTATGCACCATGGTAAAAATTTCATTTGTTAATAATTCTTTTGTTTTGCATAAAAGTTTCTTGAATTTATAAAAATCATAAAGGTGATTTCGTTAAAAACAAGTTTTATACTTTTTTATCACAAACCTTAACTATGTGTTAAAACAAAGATGTAAGGACTAGAAGTGAGAAAGTATAAAAATCGATGTGGTTTATAGACAATCGCAGTTTATAGAATTATGTTATATAAATCTTGTATTGTATTTCATTGATTAACGTAGTACACAGTTTTTCAAATATATTAATGATGTACTGAGTTCTCCTTGGGAATAAAAAGGGCAGAGCACTTCCTCACAGAGAAAGTCAGTTTTGAGTTTTGAAAGAGCACTCACTTAACACTGTAAAAAGTTATCAAAATGTATATTATGTCATAATTTAATTTATCCTCAACAATTTTTTAACTACCCTCTTATACTATTTTATGTGTGTATTTCAGAAAAGTAATTCTCACTCATTATCAAAATAAAAGAAGAATTTGCATTTATAAAAACAATTTAAACTAAAAAATGTTTTTAAAAAATGAACCTTTAAAATCACTTAAAAAATCAATATGCTCCTCAAAAAAAAAGAAACTTGTAAAAATTATATCAGTTGTGAATAATTCTAACATAATAAATATTTGTAATAGTAATCGGAATTAAACCTATAAACACAGATAATTTTACCACTATGTAATTATTATTTAAGCATTGAATTAATTTTTTTTTTAGATGAAATATGAATAAAAAGGTAGTGTTCTTAAGGGAATGCGGTTTATTTTTACGGAAAGGGCAAAGAAAGCACATCAAAAGGCAGGACGGAAGGATGGCCCTTTTGAAAACGCTTAGGAAGAACAATGGATTATATATATTATGATTATAATTATCAAATATATTATTTATTAACAGTTTTAATGCCGGCCGAGTGATTAGCGTGCCTTACTGCGAAGCCATAGGCTGCCGGTTCGAATCCCACTCTGGGCATGTATGTTTTTCTCTCTCTTTGTGCTGTCCTCTATTGTGTGTGTGTATGATATGTGAATGTGGCCCACCCTATAAACGGGTTTGTGGCGTGGGCAATGCTGCTCGTCTCCGTGACTTTGGTTCACAGGTGCCCACTGGGTAATGCGAAATGAGCAACAATTCTGGCATAGTATAGGCAAAGATTCAAATTCAGTGCCTGCCATTGGGGAAAAAAAGTTAACAGTTTTAATATAGTTTAACTTATAAATTCAATTAGGTCAAGGATTGTTCAAAAAATTTTAATAATAAAATAAATACAAATAACTTGATGTAAATTTTTAATTTTATTAAGAATATATGCATTAGCATAAGCTATGTTTAAAGAAATCTTCTACAGCAAAAGTAATCTATAAGAAGAAAAAAAATAATTAAGATTTGTAGTGATAAGTTTTAAAACAAATTCATTGTAAACTGAAAATATTAAGTCCCATAATATGTATGTTTTTCATAGGTGTGGTCACTGTAAAGCTCTTGAACCAGAATATGCGAAAGCTGCAAAAATATTGAAAGAGGAAGCAAGTTCCATTTATCTGGCAAAAGTGGATGCAACCACTGAAGCAGAACTAGCATCTCGGTTTGATGTATCTGGTTACCCAACTATGTTCATATTTAAAAAAGGAGTGAAGGTTCCTTATGATGGCCCACGTACTGCTTTAGGTAACTAATTGATAGAATTGTCAATGTGATAATATGATAATAATAGATTTTTTAATCTTTTAATTATATATGTAACTATGTGTTTTGTTATATATGTAACTATGTATTTATTTTAATTCTAATTTCACTTTTTTATCAGAACTTTATTTCATTTTTATAATTCAGTTTGAATAAAATATTGAAGCTAAATATTAATGTGCAAACTTAATAAAAACCATCTATGGTAAAATCGATTTCTTACTATCTAGCTCCTTTTTCAAAACTTAAGTCTAATTGTCAAAATGATGGTGATAGGAATAATAGGGATTAATTTGTTTCTTGTGTTTGAATGATTTGTTTATTTTATGTAGTTTATGATATTAAAATAATATTCCACTCTTCTTGCTGGTCAAAATACATAATTTTATCTAAGCCATTTAACAGAGCATCTTCTTTTTGCTCACTACAAAATAATCTTACGAATGAAAAGACAAAAAAGAGAATAGTGCTCACATCTGATAGGAAATAGCAGGTTCATTTTAATGTTTTTGTATTGCTTAGCTGTTAAGATTACCAGGCAGATAAAATGCTCACATCACAAAAAGGCATTAGCCAAGAGTTTCAAGTCTTTCCTTTCTCCTCGATAACAATGTCAAGAATTTCCCCCCAAAAGTTAAAACAAAACTTTTGCATTAGGCTAGGGAAAGGAGAAATTTTTTTTTTGCTAAAGTACTTTTAAACTTTAAAAGCCTTAAATGCTTTGAGTCCTTTTCCTAAAAAGCTTTCAAACCTGAAAATATATAAAATAAGATGACAAAAATTTTGAATATGCATTAGTAATCTTGACTATATTTAATGTATCACAAAATATATTTATGGGGAAAAAATGCAGAAACACCTGCTTAAAAATATAGCAGTTTATATTTTAATGATATACTACAGCTATAATGAAGAATTTTCAGTGTCCTCAACTAATAATTGAGCCTTTAAGCTTTCTGTTGTTTTTCAATTTTCAAGTAAATTTTAATGCAATACTTAATTTGCATGTAATTTATAAAAAATTCTCTTATCTATTTGATTTGAATAATTTGAGAATAATTATTTATTAGGAATTGTTGAGTACATGAAAGAAAGATCAGATCCTAACTGGAAGCCACCACCAGAGGCTGTTATTACTTTAAACAAAGAAAATTTTGAAGATATTGTTAGCAATGCTGCTATAATATTAGTAGAATTTTATGCACCTTGGTAAGTTTAGTTATTCATTGTTTGAATCCATCTTATTTGAAATTTTGGTACTTTTTGGTTAGCTATGAGCAAATCCTGCAACTATTTTGACTCTTTAATTTTATATAAATATATCAGAGCCTGAAATTTTAACTATAAAAATACTATCCAGACAAAAATTTACTCTCCTCTATTTAACATTTATGAAAAATAACAAGTTTTGAAAAAATAATTGATGTAGTATGAAGATTTTTGTGGTGATCGAAATCATTAAAAAAATAAAGAAAACTTAAAAATCTAAACATATTTATTGCAATAGTATTTATTCAAAATATGGCTGTCTTAAGGTTTCAATGTTTCCAGAAATAATGGTTTTGGAAATTAAAAGTGGGTGACTTTTTTCTTTCAAATGGAAGGAAGTTGCTGTTACTTGATAAGTTAATATAAAATAAACATAAGTTAAAGTCAGTAGTTTAGGTCCAAAAAGTATTGTGATACAGTAATTCCTAATCCCCTAAATCCACCTTTTCTTTGCTGATACTTAGACCAACTGACCAGATTTGGTCTCTCAGATTTTGATGTCCTCTAATAAGGATTGTTCCTACCCTCTTGTTATTGTTCTCCTAGGTGATGCATATTTCTAACAAGCCCCTCTATGACTCAGTCCTGCTGTGTGATTTCTGACACATTAATTTTTGGACAACTGAGTTGTTCTCGTTTGTGATAATACTTCATTGTGATATACAATTGCAATAATACTTCATTTCACTACATACAAGCAGGTGACTTATAAAAATGTTCTTTTCGTTTTCATATGTTTATGGTATTGGAAGGGAAAATTCTTTGCTTTGAGGTAAGGTATGTATGGAAGTAACATTTGGTATAGGAAACATTTGTTTCTCTTCCACCCCAGTTTTTTATTGCAGTTTTACCCCTGTTAAAATTCCAACCTTAGTATATTTCATTTTCCAAATGCTCAGACTTTTTATTATTCCCTTGCATTCCTGATAGTAAAATTATTTTCTTATTTCAAACTTTAATCAACTTTGTTTTTTTAACTTGCTTCAAATTTTAAGATCTGACTCTTTCAACAGGTGTGGCCATTGCAAGCAATTAGCACCAGAGTATGAAAGAGCTGCTAAAGTGCTTAAAAGTTCTGTTCCACCTGTCCCATTAGCGAAAATAGATGGTATTGAAGAGAAGGAATTGGCAGAAAAGTATGAAGCTAGAGGCTGGCCAACGCTTATGATTTTCCGAAAAGGACGCAAATATGATTATGAAGGACCTAGAGATGAATCTGGTATTTAATAGTCAATCTATGGGTCATATTTCTCTTTTCTTAATTAGTATTCATTATTGCTTGTTAATAATCCAGTTATATTTATACTTTATTAAAGTTTCAGTTTCCAAACTTTTTTATTGCTTAAAGTAATATATGTAACAATGATAATTGGAAGAAGAAAACTTCTTTTGTACAGCTATATATTTATATCTTCTTTATTGTTATATTTTTGTTAACATTTGCTGATACATCTGAATATTTTTCATATTATTTCAAGTGCATGTTTTTCATATTATTTATAATAGCTTTCATCTATAGAATTTTGACTACAAGCTTATATTATTTCTTCTGATATTTTTTAGTTATTCATTTTTATATAACCGATTTTGGTAAATAAATATTAGATTTCTAAATTATAACAATTTTAAAGCCAGTTTGTTAAAAAAAAATGGATGAATTCATTTTTATTTGCTAGTGAACTATCGTTTCAACCCCTAAGAGTTATCTGGGATAATATGAGGTAAAAAAAAATGAAGTCCACCACTCAAAGCTATTGCAACAGTAACAGAAATAAAGTAAAAGATTATAAATAGCATATCCGTTCATAAAAATTAGCTTCATTGACAAAAATAGATATACAAATATGCATGGCTCTTAATTAGGTGATGTCCACTGCTGATTTTTTAATAATTACTTTCAAATATAACTTTTGTATCTAAAAATTTAATTTGTTTATATATTTTTAGGCATTGTCAATTACATGAAAGAACAGGCCAAGCCACCAAGCCAAGAAGTTAAATCTGTCAAAGATCTAAAAAAATCAATTGGGAAAATTGATACTACAATAGTTGGATATTTTGATTCTGAAACAGAATCTTTTTATGAAAATTATGTCGAAGCAGGTATATGATTATTTATAAAAAATAATTAACTTTGTCATACAAATATTGTTTTTTTTCCTCCCTTTTATTTACTTAAATGCAAATCTCTTTTAATACAAATTTTTCAGAACAGTACCTATACTTTTTTCTATAGTAAACTAAGTTTTTTTTTCAACTGCGATTATTTGAAAATATAGAAATCTTGTTATATTTTTTATAAATATCTTTTTATATATTATATTATTTATTGCATTTCATTATAAATTATTTTTCTTTCAAATTTTAAATTCGAATAAATTTTCTTATTTCGATTGATTGCGTTTTAAATTCTAACTCAAGCAATTTCATCCACATATTTTTTATCAACATATTTATTTTTATGTTTGTAACAATTTTCTTGCTTTATAACTAGAACCTGAAATTGAAATCAAAACAAATACATGTTTCTGTCTATTTAGTTTCTTTTTCTTTCTTAAAGGCATTGTTCAGATCTTTACATATATATATATACACAGTCCAGTCACATTAATGTGACCACCACCTACTTTCGACGTCAACGTGAAATAACCACTCACAGAGTGCAGGTGGCAGCACATTACAGTGTAGTGTATATATTGGATGTCCTAGGGCATCGAAAAGCATTTCAGTCGTTGGCGCAATGCAGAAATTTAGCGATTTATCCGACGTCCAAAAGGGCATGATTATTGGCTTTCGGGCCAAGGGTGGAAGCATTTCGGAAACGACTGATTTTGTGAACTGTTCGCGTGCCGCCGTGATAAAAGCATACCATGCATGGCAAAATGGCACTATGCAAAACAAACGGCGTGGCACATGTGCACCACGGGCCAAAGATGGCAGAGGCAAACGAAGGCTGCGGAAATGCGTTCAGGCGAATAAACGTGCAACTGTTGAGCAACTGACCGTCCAGATGAACCAAGGGGCTACCAAAAGTGTATCCTCAACAACTGTTCAGCGAACGTTGCTGCGCATGGGCCTCCGCAGCAGACGCCTGGTTAATGCACCTATGCTGCTGTTCATCGGTGACAAAGGCTGGAATTTGCACGCCAGTACCGCAACTAGACGTCCACAGAGTGGCAACAGGTGGATTTTTCCGATGAATCACATTTTATGCTCCAGGGGACAGATGGAAGTTGGCGTATACGGCGTAAAACGTCTGAAAGCAAACACCCTGCAACAATTGCCGGAAGGCTGCAGGCTGGAAGAGGGAGCGTTATGGTTTGGGGAATGTTTTCCTGACATTCACTGGGTGCACTCATCATTGTAGAAAGCACGATGCGGACCATGTCCACCCCTGCATGCAAATGATTTTTCCTCAGAATGATGGCATCTACCACCAGGACAATGCGAGGTGTCATACAGCTCGCAGTGCATGTGCGTGGTTCGAAGAGCACCAGGATGAGTTTACCGTACTCCCCTGGCCAACAAACTCACCGGATTTGAACCCAATCGAGAATCTGTGGGACCACCTCGATCGGGTTGTTCGGGCCATAGATCCTCAACCGCGTATTCTAGCGCAGCTGGCCACGGCACTGGAGTCGGCATGGCTCAACATCCCAGTGAACACTTTCAGAAACCTAATTGACTTTCTTCCTGCACGTTTCATAGCGGTCCGCTCAGCCAAAGGTGGTTATTCTGGCGTTTGACAGGTGGTCACATTAATGTGACTGGACTGTGTATATAGATAAATAGATAGATGTATGTTATGTTATACATAATATTACCTATAGTATTTCAAGTAGTTTCATAACTTATATTGCTTCTAGTAGTAAACAACAACAAAAAAAAGGAATTGAAATTGCCATTCAAGAAATCTCTTCCTTACCGCGGTTTTTAAATGAAATTCTCTTTGAGTTATATGAAATATTAGTCATAAATCAATTGACTTGTATCAGACAGTCTAAAAAATACTCTTTCATACTAAAATATAGTTCTTTCCCCTGTTATTTTATAGCTTATTCTATACCTGATTTATAAACATATTTTTATGAGAAATATAAATTATCAAAAAAAGTTGTTTCTAAAAAATTTTAAATATTTTTTGATGAGTTGGGGCATTTTTTTTAATCTTAGCCTTAATTATTTCTTTTAACTTCCAAATTAGATGCTAATATTTTGTAAAACTCTTAAATTTATTAAAAAGTATTTTCATTGGAAATTTGCAAATTACCAAAAATATAGATTTGAAAAAAATACATATTATCTTAGTTAATAGATATATAATCATTCGTTATCCTTCTAGAAATCATAATAATGTTCTCGTTTATAGTTAATCATTTTCCTTTCAAAATTTTTCAATAATTGTTATTTTAAAAGTTTTAAATTACACTTTATTGAAGAAATTTTAGAACTGTGCATACTGTCTAATTATGTAAAAATAAAAATAAAATGAATTTTTTAAGCTTTTCTTTCTGTATAACAAAAAACTTTTTTTTTACTTAAAATGTGTGGTTTTATTTGTTGTTTCAATTATTTAGGAATTTGTTGTTAATACTTGTTATTTTTCAGCAAATTCTCTAAGAAGCAAGTTTACATTCCTACATTCATTTAGCAAAGATGTACTAAAGTATTCTGGCTCTGAAAAGCAAAAGATTATTTTGTATAAACCAGAATTGTTTTCTTCAGAATTTGAGAAAAAACAATTTGAGTTAGATGATGTAAGTAGGCGAGACATTGTAAAATTTTTGCTTTGTCAATTCATTTTTTCTCTTGTTTTAAAATTATATTAACCGTTTCCTCTCTAACTTCTGATTAAAGTTTCTTTTAAAAATACTTTAATAACAATAATAATAAATTCGACTTCATTATAATGTAATTTTTTACCCTTTTTATTTTCAAACATTCGTTTTTGTAATTATTAAGAAAGTTAAAAAATTAACTTTAAATATATGCCCATGATCTTATAATTTGTTTCGTAATATCTTTGTAACATACTGATTTCATCATTATTTTGTTTAGATTAATTCTTCTCCTGGTGATATATCAAAATTTATTAAAGATCATGCCTTACCATTAGTTGGAGAGCGAAGTCATAAAAGCATGTGGAAATACCAAAACAAATATCCTATTGTTGTTGTATATTATGATGTTGATTTTGGTTTTGATTATAGAAAACGTAAGTGGAGACTTTTTTTCTAGTTATCTTGTGATAAATAATATATCGATTTATAAAACTTTGCTAAATGTACTTCTTTACTACAATTTCAAATTGCTAATTGTTAAGTTACTTTTTTATTAATATCTAAAAAGCAAAATCAGAAAAGTGTATTTATTAACAAAGCTAAGCGTTTTAATTGTAAAAATTTGTATTGTGCAATTTTAAAATATTCTGAAAATGCATCATGATAACTATATTAATTTCCTGAAATGAGTAGGTTTTTTAGTAAACCGATAATGTGATTGCAAACGTTTGTGCCCAATATGATTTGTACAAAGAAATATATATATACAGTACAGCCTCGAAAATCCAGGTTTCTAAAATTTGAAAATCTCTTAAATCTGGACTCTGATTTCCGTTTCATTAGAAAAAAATGTTCTAAATCAGTTTCAAAAAAAAGAAAAGATACGCTGTAAATAAAAATTTAAATGTAAAGGCTCAAATCCGCAACTCTTCTTGAGCAAGGAAGCAGTGGATGAAGAGGTGGGGATGGGGACTGAATGAAAGTGCATAGCTGATAAGGAAGTTCCAGTCATTCTTATCAGCGCTGTATAAAGAAGGAATGCAGGAGGAGAAACTCTCCTACCACCTTGTTTTTCCACCATGTAAAGAAAGAAAGCTAGTTCTTTCTTAATCTTGAAGCTTAGGAGGCTGGGACAAATTCTTTCATCTCCCAGCCTAGGATTAGTATTAGCTGTTACAGTCTAATCCAATTCCAATCTAGACGCATCTGTTTCTGTTATAAGTTGATCGTTTTGAATTCAGCTGGAGTTTTAAGCCATTGTTTTTAGTTTTAATTGCTAACATTGTTATCTAAACGATCAGTTATGGGGAATAATGACAAAAGTTCGAAGATGAGAAAGCATAATACGCTTACAATTTTTTAAAAAGTAGAATTACTGCAGAAATATGAACTCTGCAAACCCACTGTTTATGACTTAATAAAACAGAAGGAAGAAGTACAAAAGGAAAAAAAAATGTGTTGAATAAATATGAAAAATATTTTATATATGTTACCGGCAAAGTATGAAATGATTTATATTTCACACATTTCTTAGGCATTCTATAGATTGCCAAATGAGAAACCAGCAAAGTACAAATACATCTCCGATTCGTTTCAAATATCACTTGGCAAGGCTTGTGACTTTTAACGCGTGGCTCGTGACTTTTAACTAATAACAAAAATTATTTTTTTACTATGCTACATGGAAATGGAGGAATTTAATGAAATTTACGTGGAAAAATTTAATGAAATGTAATTTAAAATGTCATTGAAGCCTGCCATGTTGCAACAAGTAGGTTAATTTCATATTCTTTATATTAAAATTTTGTTTCCCTTAATAAGAAAGGCTTAAATTTTGTTTTGCATAACTTTTTAATTTTCTTTCCACATTTTGAATAAATGTTTTTCAATGGCACTCTCAGTATTTTTCCAGAATAATATTTTTATTTTTGAGAAATGCATGTTACAGTGATTGACCGAAATCGGTAGTTTTACATTTATTCGATATTTTAATACTTACTGACTTTAGATTCGAAGAAACATCAGTGTAAGGTATACCGGGCAATGACACTTAACTAGAGCTAGTATGACAGGACCTTTCGTACATGTCCGAAATATATACTAGGTCTAGTTAAGCGCCATTGCACGGTATACATTTGCCCGGTATACCTTACACTGATATTTTTTTTAAAAGTTAAGTGCCACTGTCCGGTATACATTTGTCCGGTATACCCTACACTGATGTTTTTTTAAGGTCAATTGCCATTGCCCGGTATACATTTGCCCAATACTCCAAACACTGATGTTTCTTCGAATCTATCGTCAGTAAGTATTAAAATATCGAATAAATACAATTATATCCTATAATAAATTAAACATCAAATCGGATGTTATAAATATTTCAGACATTCACCAAAGCGACAATATGACAGTCAACATTCACCGGTGAACGTCAACAACCACCGATTTTGCTTATTCACAGTAACATGCACATCATTTACATAATAACCTCATCAGGACGTTTATTTCATACTTTGCCTAAATAGCATCCGGCATTGTATAGAATGTCTAGGCATTCTATACAATGCCTAGGCTAAGTATGTAATACTTCTCACATTTCATACCTTGCCTGAAAACGTTAGGCATTCTATACAATGCCTAGTCATTCTACACAATGCCGGCGTTTCATACTTTGCCTGTAACATATGGGCAATTCCATATGTGACGGAATGACATTTTGACTTGCAAAATAACAATTAATTGAAGTTTCTATGTATCTAATTTCAAATAAACATTTTTTTCTCATGCATATCATTATTATTGGCATAATGCACTTCATAAACTAAAAAAACAGGATTTTCTATCTTTTTTACTTTTAATTTTATTAACTTTTTATTTGCGTGACGGAATGACATTTTGGCAATTTTATACTTTTAGTATAATGTGTAAGCCATGTAAAATGTGAATTTGGAAAATTAACCCCAGGTTGGCTAGCAGTTATTAACATCTATTTGCTGTGATGGAATGACCGTGACGGAATGACAAAAAGTTTAGTAGAAGAAAGTCTTCATTTAAAAAATGTTTTATTAATAAAAATTTCAACAGTTTGAAAATTAGGTTGTCTCTGAAGAGGTTTTATATCTAACTTGCCAATGTCACATCTTATCTTCGTTCTCAGGAAATTTATGCGTTATTAAGACATGTGACGGAATGACGTAAAAGAAGTTACTTTTATTTTATATATTAAACTTAAAATGATAATGTTTTAAATGTTTAAATTTTGTACTATATGCANCTTTTGTTTAAATTTTTTTCTACATATTACAACTTTCAATATAATTGAAGAAAAAAAAATTTAAAACCAAAATACTCCAGAAAGGGCACTGGAGAACAAAAAATTAAAACACATTTTTAGAAAACTAAAGTAATTGCTGCTTCTAATTTCCCTAGAAAGAGCAATAAAATGCATCCTTCACTGACAAATCATTTTTTTCAAGCATTCTTTGACTTTGAACATCTTCCTATTACCTACAGAGACATCCTACAGTCATCTGACTCCTCAAAAAAATAGCCATCTCATTTTACACTATGGGAAAATGTTCTTTTATTTCTTTAAATTCCCTTTATAACTTTTATGGCCCTGGGTTCTTTTGTCCTTTTTTAAAATGTCATATATTCACAAAACCATCTATTTATTGGATATCTATTCATAAATTGTAAGGTATTTAAGATTATACTATTCATCTGTTGGATATCTATTCATTAATCTCCTTTCTATTTTACCTGAATTTGCGACAGTATTTTCCAAACTACAAATGCTGCCAGCAGCCAATGAACATCTCTCTCACACATTTCTCACTTCACATCATTTATAAAACTATGCATTTTGCATAGTTATATGCATTTCGCATAATTAGCATATAAGTGTATGCTGTTTCAATTTCGCTCATTATTTGCTTCATATTCGACAATTTTGTGTTTCAAATATATTGTGACACATTTTGCTTACTCTTGAGAAACTCTTTTTATGGTTTATACCTAAACCTGAATCAAATATAAAACATAAATTACGCCCAGATCAAAATGTAAATCGCAAATTAAGTCTAAATAAATTGTTTTTGAGGAGCAAAAAACCATTTTATATCATTTATGATTAAATTGTGTCAATAAAATGTATTGCGCAGAGTTAACAAATTTAAGGGAGTTAAGTTAAAAAATTAATTTTTCCATCACATTTAATTTTCTCTTTTTCTTTTCAATGTGTTTCCATTCATTCTTTAATGTTTCCGTTTGTTAATTTGTATAATTTGTTCATTTGTTTGATAGTGTGAAAGTAATGATTAAATCATAATCATCTGTTTTAAGAACTTGGTATGCAAGTGATGATTGTCTAATAATTGTTGTTACAGAAACTCAACTTATTCGAAAGGAAGTTGTTAAAGTGGCCAAAGATTACAAGGCAAAAATCACTTTTGCTATTTCAAATGAAAATGAATTTGAAGATGAATTGAATCAACTTGGCTTAGCTGACAGTGGTGAAGATGTCAATGTTGGTTACTATGAAAGTGCTAAAATTCGTTACCGAATGGAACCTGTTGAAGATTTTAGTGCAGATGAACTGCGAGAGTTTGTACGTGATGTTCTTGCAGGTATTGATTTTATACTTTTGACAATTTTTTTTAAATCTGCCCGCCTTTACTCATAAACATAAATTATTAATAATGCAAATTTCTAGCTTTAATGAAAATTATTTAAAAAAAATTGTGTGAAATATTATTCATAACATTCTTGACATTTAAAAATAGTGTTACATAGTTATATATTTTATGAAACTTTGTATTAAATATCTCGTAATTTTTTAGCCTGGTTTTTAATGGCTTATACGACCAATAAATTCTGTATCTTTTTTTTCTTCTTTTTTTGCCTCTTATGTTATTTTCCTTGTCAAACTGATACTTTGTTTCAAGTGAATTTTATCCAATCCCCTAAACTAGATCAAAAATTGATTGAAGCTAGGTTTCAAAAAGAGCCAAGATATCGTGGGTTCGATCCCTGGCAGCCGAAGACTCCCTGCATTGTAAATGGTGACTGGTGCACGTTAAATCTGTCGAGTTACAAGGTCCTCCATGTTCCTATAACAATTCATATCTCTGGGGGTACTCATCCAGGAGTTTCCCTGTCTTCTGGATTGGTTCAAATTTACAAGGCCACGGAGTTAATTATTAGTAGTAGTAAGCCCAAAATTGGGTCGACTGTTCAACGATGGTTGTAAAGAAGGAAAAATTTTATGTGTTTTATTCATTCCCATCAAGCCTTAATTATAATTTCTCTCTGCTGAATTGGTTAGGATTTAACATGTATTGTGTTTAATTGAAATCACAATTTTAACATCATTCTTTTAAATGTTTAATTCTTTTTCTTAATGTATTCTCTTTTGCATTATAGGCAATGTAAAAAAGCATATTAAATCTCAACCTGTACCAAAAGAAAACAAAGGGCCTGTTACTACGATAGTCGGCTCATCTTTTGACAGTCTTATTACTCAAAGCAAAAAAGATGTTTTGGTTGAATTCTATGCCCCTTGGTGTGGCCATTGCAAGAAACTTGATCCAGAGTACAAAAAATTAGGAAAAGCTTTCTCAAATCATGATAAGCTGCTTGTTGCTAAAATTGATGCTACTGCTAACGATTTTCCCAGTGAATACAAAGTCGATGGTTTTCCAACCATTTATTATGTTCCTGCTCATGACAAGAAAAACTTAATTGTTTATGAGGGTGAACGCAACCTTGAAGCAATGACTAAATTTGTGAATGATCAACTATCAAAAAGTACTGAAAAAGATGAATTATGAGTGTCAAAGTTTACACAAACAAAACAACTATGATGCAAATATCTCAGCAAATAATAGTTAAACAAATTTTGTTACATGGTCTAATGTTTTGTCCTTTTTTATGGTATAAGTTACGTTTGTCTTTTTTAAATATATTAATTGTATTAAATTACAATTTTTTTTTCTATTTGTGATGCCTTATTTAATTAAGGTTCATGATTTTTTCTTTGTAAATAACATTGTACCATATTTTAAATAATTCTAAAGATATTTTTTATAATAATGTATTCGTTATACTACAACTTTTGATAAAGAAATAGCTTCATTGAACAAATGAGAAGTTACTGTATTGTATTTTTATTCTGTAACTCAATTGAACTCTTTTATTTTAAAATCATTGTATGAAAGGCCCTTTTGCTTTTGTAAATATTTAAAGAAATTGCTGGTCAATGCAGTGTTATCTTATCATTATCATTGGAGTCTTCCATATTATTTTCTTGTGCATACTATAGGATTGGACAATAAAGTTTTCAATGTGATTCTTACTGTATAGAATTTTTAAAAGCTAACCATAATGAGCATTTTCAAGGCAATTTAAAAAAAAAAAATTGTAATTATTACTAGATATTTATTTGTTGTTTAAGTTTCTCTGCTTTCCTAATCATTCAAATTAGTCACAGGAAAAAGTTGTACAAATAATCAAAGACGCATACTACCTGAAACCGTTTATTTTAAATGTTTTTGGTTTGAATGTAAAGCATATTCTTTATTATCTAAGATTATCAATTCAAAGATACATATGATCTGAAACCATTTTTTTTTTCAATTGTTTACTGTTTAAATGTACTGCATAGGTCAGAGATGGGGAATCTATGGTGCATGTACCACATGTTGCAGATATTTCGATACCACGCAAAGAGTACAGATTAAATTTTATTCACCAACATTTAGAAAAAAAATCTTTATTCGGGGCTATCATTAGCGGAATCAGAAACATGATACGATTTTGGGTGTCATAATTTTTTCTAGGATGTAAAGTTAACTATAGTACCCTTGCCTGTATAGAAGTTCGTTGTTATAGGGGAGATAGACTTGGAAAGTGCGCACTTACTATAAAATGTACTAATTAATGTACCCAAATTAAATTAAATAATACTAAATAGAATAACAGCCTAATAAAATAATGCTTGAACTAAATAGAATAAGAACTTAAACTAGATGAAAACCTAAACTAAATTGAAAATTTCGAAAAAAAATTACTCTAGTAAATTTTTATTATGTTGTGAGCAAGGTTTTTAAAAATGAATTATATATTAAATATGTTTATAATGAATCAAGGATATGTATGTAATGAACTCAAATTTTAACCTAGGTGGTTTTTTATTATTTAAGTAAATCTTGTGTTTTTTATTAAAGAAAACTAGTTTGTTATTAAAAACAATTATAAGTAAAGACCCAAACATAAATAAAATGGTTGATGTGACTCAGCAACAATTTCTGCCCTAAAAAAGATAGTTTTTGAATTGATATTGTATTATACGTTTGCCATTTTATTAACACATTTTGAAGTAAAATCTTGTTTAGTTTTTGAAAGAGAATATCATTTTTAAGAACAAAAAGGTATAAATAAAATACTTTAAACTGTATTGATCCATCTAATTTTTCATACAATAAAAAATTGAAAACATCTAACATTTAATTACCTTGTTTTCATTTTAGTGCTTACCATAAAAGGTTGTTCGTTTTGTGATATTTTATTTTAGCATAATATTAAACTGAAATAATTTTAATAAATATTGTTTATTTGATTTCCATTTGAAGTACTTTAATAAATAAGCAGTAAGTATAGATCCACAATATAATTATACAGTTTCATATGAAAATAAACTGGTTTATTTAAATTTAAAAATAACAAGTGGCACACTTGACACCCAAGAATAATAAACCGTAATTTAACTGGAACGCTGATTGAAAAGACCAACAAATTTTCCATCAAACTGTGGTTCAAAAAACATAAATATTAATTTTTCCGTTATAGTTCTTAAAAATAATTGTTCAAGATCGTAACCTTAAATATTAGTGCAGATGTTATCTTAAGCAATCCGATGCAAAAATGTACTTTCTCTGAATTAACATACTGTTCCACGACATTTATATTCTTGACCTACACCGTTTGGGGAATTGAAAAATATGATCACAATATAAAAAGACCTATAATTATGATTTATCCGTGCTTATTACGATTTTTTAAAGATTATGGTATTATAGTGATAACAATTATAGTTTTTGAAAATTTGCATAATCTATATCCATGCCTATGGTGGGATTCGAACCCACAGCCACTGGCCCCGTAGTTTAGTACAGCAACCACCAGACCAATGATCGGCGATAATAATCTATATAAAACATAATTTTTTTTTTCTTCCTCGACTATGAAAAGTATAAAAAATTTTTGTTTGCAGCTGATCCAAGAGTATTTTTTAATATTTCTGGAATAATTTAAAAATAAAAGCTATTTAACAGAAACAAGTAATTTCAAAAATCAGTTTTTTGACACATCAAAGGAGAAAGGTGCTTACAAGCAGACCTTTTGAAAGCAAGATAGTTGTGATCAGGGCTCGAAAAAACTCAGAAATTTTACCCGTCCCAGAGGACGGCTTGTCCAACAATGTACCCGTCCTCCTTTAAAACTAACCCGTAGCTTCTAAATAAATAAAAATATAATTTTCTCTTATTTCTTACAAACATTTATAAAAATTACACAATGAATTAGTAGTTACTAGGATTACAAATACTAGAATTACAATATACAGTAATAAAAGAAATACTAGGTTACTAATAGTGACCTAGTATTTCTTTTATGAAATAATTTAAATTACAAAGGTCAATTTATCCGAGGGTATTGCGTTTTTTAAATGAATCAAATATGAGGTTTGCCAGTTCCACAATCAAGCCAATGATTTACAGAGGTTTCGGCACAGAAATCTGAAAGGGGTTTTCCATTTTGATAGATGTTCATAATTGCGTTTCTTGTGTAAGACCAGTACGTAACGTGTTTTTTTGTAAGTTCATTGCTGAAAAGCCCCTTTCAACCGCTGCAGTACTCCCAGACAGAAAACATCAATTCCACCATGCGTAGTATGCTGCTGTATTTCTGGATTAGAGGGTCATTTTAGAAGTGAGGAGCTAGACTCTTGTAAGATAATAAAAATTGAAAATGTATCACGAACATTAACGGGAATGTGGCCGTCCGCGCTGACGTCGGATTCGAGAAATTCGTTGTCAGCGGGGAATTTTTGACCGCCGAGGACGGGCGGTTTTTCGTGCCCTGGATGTGGTTGTTTTCTTTTCTTTTTCAAGTAAATGATGGATATGATTCCACAGTCTCTTCTAGTTTTGTCGTTATTACCTGTTTCACATAGACTGCTGCATCTAAAAGAGTTATCAATTAAGTGAAAAAATCTTTCATTAATATTATATGCCTATGTAGAATTTAGTTTTATGTACACCAAATCGTTAAATCTGAATTTAATAAACGTTAACATTATGTTACTGTATTGTTTTATTATTATTGATAGATTGGAAATTTGACACATCTCTAATAGGTGGGCCAGAATAGCAGTCAAAACTTTAGACCACTTTATGTTAATTTTACTTTTTGCATATTTTGCCATATTCTGGAACTTCTTATGCAAATTGAAAAGGTCCCGCAGTGAACTGATCGTTAAGACACGGTTCCCAGCAGATCACCGAACTCAAGCATCACTGGCTACGGTCAGTGTGCGGGTGGGTGACCACTTGGATCAGTCTGCGTAGGGACCGAGGGTGTGCGGTATTGGTCCTCGTTAAACTGTGCTACCGTAAAGTACTCGACTTCGCGCGCAGGTCGTCGGACTACCGAAGCGGGGGTGTCATCCCCTCCGCAGAGGATCAAAATTGTGATGGCATGTCTTCGGATCATCCTCCGGGATGTTTCCCAGACCGTCGCCAATAGCCCATTGTGCAGCTCTAGTGCGACGTAATTAACAACAACAACAAATTGAAAAGTTTTACGCACAGTTATAAAACTCATTTATTCAAAGATAATTTTACGTAAAAAATCATTTTTAATCATTGTTTATTTTATTTAATAATCGGCGAAACATTTTCGAACTGTAAAGCATACAAATTATTACATCCATTTAAAGAAAGTAATTTTGAATGGCAGAGTACAAAAGTTTGACGAAGTCGGTAGTGAAGTACCCGAGTAAATTAAATTTTTAAAAAGTCGTTTAAATAAAAAATTAATAATATTAAAAATTTGATTTCTTAAGATCCAATCAACCAATTTCGTTCACCTAAATGTTTCCTAAGTTATGCCTGATAAACAGCAGAAGAAAACTATTTCAGCCTTCTTTGTAACCTAGGAGCACAAATGAAAAGCACAAGCTCCTTCTGTTCATGAGGTATTGAGTTAAAACCCCTGACTGACCTGATCAACCTGAGAATGTCATTTTCACGTTTTCTTTTTTTCGTCCTGTAATTTAATTGTCCATCGGTCCTGTAATTTAATTGGAGGAACCTGAAATGTTCAATAAGTGTATAATTAATGAGAATTATCTTCATACTTTTGCCGGAAAATTGATGTTGTACTGGAAAGAGCTTTAAGAATAAAACGCAGCATGAAGGAAATTATTATTTTTTGTACATATCTTTTTGCTTTTTAGAAAACATTTTTGTTTATTTTAAGATAGATAGTATACCATATATTTTGGGCTAAGTTTATTTAATCACATTACTACAAATATCCTTAAAAGTAAGAGGAATTGACAATTAAAAATGGGCGGAGCTTCTAATGAAGAGGGGTTTCACGCTTACAAACAAGTGGGTAGTAAGAGGCATACAGTTGAGATGAGTTTAAGCCTGAAAGACCGTTGGAGTTTTAGATATGATGGGGGATCGAGGTGTTCACCTTCCAATAAGGTGAACCAGGTTCGAATCCCAGCAACGGTTGGTCAATACGAATTCCGCATCCGGCTTGTACCGAACACAGTGCTGGCGCAAAATAACTTCAGTGGTAGACGGATCATTGGTTAGAGTCTCTTTGCCGTCAGGTTAACCGTGGAAGGTTTTTTCTCTCCATGTAATGCAAATGCGGGTTAATTCCATTAAAAAGTCCATCACGAAGGCAAATTTCTCCTCAATACTTGATTCAGGGGTTCTCTTGTCTTTTGGATTGGATGCGAAATTGCAAGGTAATGGAGCTGAATATAAAAGTCGCAAACCCTAAAATTGGGTCTGCGATTTTGGTCGCATTCATGTAGAAGATTAAAGAAAAATTCTCCTCCCTGAAAAGATAGCACTCAGTGAGCATTATGCAGACCCCTGATTACACGTTTGCC